ACAATACACATTCATATACACACCTACATACATATAACATAATTATTTGGTATATCTGGTTTGTTTTATTTTTATAATCAGGTAATCCCATATTCCCACATTGAACGTGTATTCTGGGTAGTATCTTAAATTTTTTTTTGACAAATTAGGATTTTTTTTTTTTTAAATATGGTTTTTTATCAGTTTACTAAATATACCTCTTCATGTTTCAAGAATCCATGTTTTTATTTTTAGTTTAACAGTTTTTTTCTTTTAATACGATTTTATCATATTCTGTAATTCTTCTGGTATCATATTATATAATTTAGGACCCAAATAATAGAAAGTATGTTGTCCGATAGTTTTATTGCACTTAGGAACTTGTGTTCTGATACTTTTAGTTCTTTTCTGGTAAGAATATTCTGGTGGGCATATTAAATCTTTGTTTGAGTACATATAGATAAGAAGTTTTTGTCCATATAACTGCCTTATATCGCATACTCGACTTATCTCATATATTTTGTCAGAGGGGTAACTGATGTTTTTTTTTGTATATGATTCTTAATATCCATCTCTGTCAGACGTTTACTTTTTCTAGATGGGAATCGTATACTCCTCCCCATCCAAGGATGCCATAGGCTAGGAGAGACTGAACCAAAGAAAAGTAAATGATTTTCTGATGATTTATATCCAAAACCGATTCAAGAATCTGAATCTTCCCAAAAGGCCTCTCAATTTATTGACAAGACTATTGATATGTAGATCTCACCGTAAATGTTGATCCATGGTAATTCCCAAGTACTTTACTGTTGTGACTTCTGGAATATGTGTGTTTGGGTTAATTATTAGATTTCCTGGATTTGGTAAGTGACTTTTATATGAGGCAAAAGACATGTACTGTGTTTTATCGACATTTAATGTGAGCTTTTTTAACTGAATCCATTTTTGAACCATTGAAAAATCACCCTCCGCATCGATTTTCAGTCTCTCCCAGCTTTGTGACGTGTAAAATATAGCAGTATCATCAGCGAAACTAATAATACTACCCCTTGATTCAATACTACCCCTTGTTTATATAAACGCTGAATAAAAGAGGTTCAAGTACTGTTCCTTGGGGAACACCAAATGTTATTGCTCTCATTTGACTGACACTGTTATTCAAAGATACTTGTTGTTGTCGATCAGTCAAATAACTCTTCAACAAATCATGTACTCTACCTCTTATTCCATAAGCGTTCAGTTTTTTCAATAGAATGGCATGTGAAACAGTATCGAATGCTTTAGAGAGGTCTATGAAGATACAAAGTGCTGGTATTCGATTATCTATTGCTTCATATATTTTTTTTGATAATGCACAAATAGCATCTTCAGTTGAGCAGCCTTCTCTGAAGCCAAACTGTTTTTTTGAGATAACATTATTTTTATCAAAGAAATTCATAGTCCTGATTTTCAATATTTTCTCGAGAATTTTTGCTATTGTAGAGATTATTGTTATAGGTCGGTAATTGTCTACTTTTTCTTTATTGCCTTTCTTGAAAATGGGTTTAATATTTCCAATTTTCAGGGATTTTGGGAAATAACCACTTTCGAAACATCTATTTATGAGTACAGACAATGGAAAAGCAACAAGATCCAAAATCTCTTTCAGGGTTTCAGCTCTAATTCCATCTACTCCGGGTGCTTTTTTGGGCTTTAAACTTTTTATGATTTCTATAATCTGACTCATTTGTTTCATATAAGAATATGGAGCACGATACATTTTTGATATTATCTTGGAATGTAGATATATCACGAATTTTGCTAGCGTATTCTTTTCCCAGGCTGCTGAAATAGTGGTTGAAATAATTAGCCATTTCCTTATCTTCTGTTGAAATGTTGTTTCATGTATTGATTTTTTTAACCTCAGTTTCAGATTTTGGTTTGTTACAAATATTATTTACACAGCTCCAGAATGTTTTAGATTAATGATGTTTTTATATCGTTTATATTGTTCATGCAATATTATATTATTTGAGTTTTTTCGATGTTGTAGGTATAAATCATTTTTATGTGAGCACATAATTGTTTAGTTACCCACGGATTCTTAGTTCTTTTTTCTTTCGGAATTTTAACTGTTTTAGTGCAGTTATTGATATTTCTTTGTAGGATGTCAATGAAGGTGTCTGTGATATCATCAATGTCGTTTCTATTTATCACATTTTCCCAATCCTCTAGAGCTATTTTATTTCTAAGTTTCGTAAAATCGATGAACTTCTTATAATTTTGTCTTGAGTTTTTATCTGTCAATAAGTCATCTTCAAAGGTCATTTGGAAAACAATTGGGTCATGATCTGTTTCATCACATAAATGAATGAAAGATTGACATGAATTATTATGTGAGTCCGTTTTGACAAAATAATGATCAATACAGGTTTTGCTTGCTCTTCGGGTAGGGTCGTTTATATATGAGACAAAATCGAATGAATTTAATATATTTTTATATTCATCAATATCAGGATCACTGTTCTCCAATATATTTATATTTATGCCTCCTGTGATAATATGATGTTTCGGTTTATTCCTAGTTAGGTATGTACTGAGGTCAAAATTAAAATCTTTAATAGAACTACTTGGTAATCTGTATATTGCTGTTATGTTGAGATGAATTGCTTTTGATGACCCTAGATTTATAATTTTTTGTTCGAAGTCTAAACGTGTGTTTAAGTATACAACAACGCCATCATGAGAATTGAAGTCTCCATTAATTATTAATTGATTTGTTATCTTGTAGGTGAACAAACTCAAATTTTGAATCTTCAATTTTTTCAAGTTTCCAGCCCATTTTCACCCCCTCAGACGGCCTGGAAAACTATGTCGAATAGATCATCAGGAATAACATGTCTCAATTTTGTAGGTGTACAAAGTCGATTTTTCATGTTACAAATAAATTATCTCAGTTATTATTAAAAAACTGATTATTTTTGAAAACTTTGCCACCCTGTATCTCAAAAGTTAAGGCGTTTAGGACATACGTCCATAGGACGTTTTTTCCTTAAAATAGGTCTAAGAATTACCTCCTTAAATATTAGCATGTGTTTAAGGAACACCCTGTATAACTTCACATCCGTAGAATTTTTTATGAAAATAACGTTTCGTTTCAAATTCAATCAAATTTTTTGTCCAGTAAAAATATGTATTCACAAAATTAATTGTGATTAAGTTTCTCTGAATAGTTCAGAATTTTTTATTTCCCCTCCATCTCCCTTTGACAAGTCTTTTTGAACATTTTGAGGCCACTCGAGGCCACAAGAAGTAAAATCTATCGGAGTATAACTGAGATGAAATTTAACTTACCATATTTTCAGTGAAGGAAAAATACAGAAAGTAGAACTCACCTGAAATTAAAAAAAAATATATTATCAAATGGTAACAAAAAATGGTTTCATTTAAAAGTAAGTTTTGTGCAAAAATCTAACGAATCAAGAAAACACTGTATTATGGGATTCTCACTGAAAATCTCATTATTATCATCAAGTATCGGTTCCACATCATACTTATATGATTAGGATAAAAACAAAATACAAAAAAATCAAAATTCTTGTTGCCGTCTAATTCACGGAATTCGTAAGTATGATTTCATTTCTGAAGCTTTAATAAACTACCGCTGGCTCAATATGTAAAACCGTATGATTCATCATTTGGGTTGTTCTGTTCATACATTAATTACTCTTCCCTATTATTTCCTTTTGATACAGAAAATAATTCTGCGTGAAGACATCTGTTTAAAATCTGTTTTTCCGTTAATCAGCTGTCGCCCCCCATACAACAGCTCTCTGAAGTTGAGAAACATGTGCGAGCTACGGACTAACGAGGTCTTACCTTTTAACGTGTGATTGATAACACGGAATCCACTCAATAAATATTAGAAATGAAAATAAATTATCTATGCCACATCAAATTCAAATACAAATGAAAAAATTATATCGGTGAGAATCTTCTGTAACTGTAAGTTATTTGCTTCAAACAGAAAATTATGCACACGTTAGAAAGAGGCGTTGAGAATTGAAGGTTGGAATTCGGTTTATTCTGCCAAGGTGAATATTTGAATAATAAAAACTTTCTGGGCAATATTCTCTTCATCGATGAGGCGACATTTACCACTAACAGTACAGTGTCCACTCAGAATTACAGGTAATGAGCAAGAGAGAATACACACTGGATGATAAATGCAAAAAGACAATATTCACAAAAATCAATGTCTGGGTAGGAATATTCAAAAATCGGTAAAAAAGGTAAAGTGTTTTTTGAAAATACACTAAACGGTGAAATGTATCGGGGCTTCGGGGGATAGGGCCTGACCAGCGCACACTACGGTGAAAAATAATAATATCTGAAAAACTGTTCCATTTATCATTTAATTTATTTCTGTTATTTGTAATGTTTCTAAAATCAAAAACACGTTTTCAACTTTTGACTTTTTTTTTAATTAAACTAGAGACAACTCTATAAAACGATTACAATCTATGTAACTCCGTAGCTGAGTATGCGAAGTATTATTTTATTGAATGGTTACTTCATCTTTTCTGTAAAGTTCGTAGACTTTCATACTGGGTCAGTCAAAAAATCATGGATTTGGAAATTTGTCATCATATAACTAACACCCTGTATGAGATATTGGGCTGAAACTTGGAATCTAGATGTTAGAAATATGCCCAAATCGAATGGGGTATCCAATTTTCCGATAAAAAAATGCCTAATGGTCCTTCTCGAAATTTCTACCCATTTTGCAGGTCATAGTAAGCCTTGAAAATAATAATAATTCAACAGCTTTGAATAGAGTTCGTCAAGTACCATAATTTGTAATTTTCATTTTCCAGAATCGGTTCATGAGTTTCAAAATAACAGAAATAACAGGGTGTTGCGGTTTGAAATCGCACACACTGTATACATACAAACATTAAAGTTAAATTAAAAACCTTGTGATAATAAAAAAATCAGCATGCCTCAACACCACATTTGATTAAATTGTTCGCCAGTGAAAGGAACTTAAATCACGACGGAGTTTTATCGTGTTATTGATGAGCAATAAGCTAGAAATTCGTCAATACAATTATTATCGCAGATGAATACCGGGACTGTTTTCAAAAATAGTTTTGAAGAAATACGAAGACGTAATTGATGTCAAATCGTAATCAGGAGAAAGGTCAGAATTAGTAAATAATTATCAGATATATTTGAACTGCCATCCGTATGTTCCATGAGTAAACTATATCTCCTTTATTTTGTGATGTTAGTAGATACAAGAGTTCCATTCGCGTGATAGTGTGAATAAGACGGAGAAGAAGAAAACACGTGAATTCGAAATTTTGATCTTTTCCATTGTGTTGAATAGCAAAATGAAAATCTCGTGTATTATTCTCGTAGCGCTTCTAGCAGTTCAGTGTCCAAATACCTTCGGAAGAAGAATTCGTCATCCTGAACCAGAATCGATAGCTGAAAGACCATTCGAAAAACAAGGTAAATGTTATCTATTATTTTTTTAAATAACAACATTAAAAAATAATGAATATTATTAGTTGAAGAAAAATGTTTGTATTCAATCAATTTCAAAATTTACGATTTATCATAACAATTAGGGTATCCTTCAGAATCGTTGTCAGATTTAAAAAAAATCTGTTAAAATCTGTTTTTCCGTTAACCAGCTGTCGCCTCCCTACGAACGACAACCCTCAGAAGTCGAAACTTGTGCGAGCTGAGGACTAACGAGGTCTCACCTTTTAACGTGAGATTCCTAACACGGGTTGGACGATGGGATATGGAAATCGATCGTCTGGCGTTGCGAAGTGAAGCAAACAACGTAAACCTCAACAAGAGCAAATCTCAAGAAATGGTCTGCTTCTCAAACAAAAAGTTATGTGGATCAAAATCTGTCAAGTTGCTTGGACTGACCCTTGATGATGACTTGAGTTGGCAAACCCATATTGATATATTATCCAAAAAAACTATCAATTCAGCTGTTTCTGTTGAGATGTTTTAAAATTTTTTTGGATTCTTCTACCCTCCTATCTTCATATCATTCTCTTTCCACGGAATTGCGAAATTATTTTATGAGGAAACTCACCTCACTCTGTTAAAGTTTTCCGTCTTCAAAAACGTGCTATACGTTTGATGGCTGATGCCCTGTATAATGCTCATGCCGAGAACTCTTCAAGAAGCTCAGGATTCTATGTCTTTCTTCTATCTATATCTATCAAAGTCTCCTCGAAATACATAACAGAAAAACTGAAATCGACAGAAATAACGATTTCCACAATTATTCAACCAGGTAAGCAGACCATATGAGGGCTCCTAGAGATAAACTTGCAATCTCACAACGCAATTCCATGAACTTGCATCTGTACCACGTGAATGGAGGAATCTCGATCTCATGCGCTTTTGAACCCTGCACACACGAGGTCAGTAACGGTCTAACAGAACAATATATTTTATAAAAAAAGTTTAATCATTCAGAATTGTATATCAAGTTTCACCTTCACCAATGTCTCATCATTTCTTCTTGAACATCAATGTAACCACCCTCACATAAGATTTTCCCTGATGATGGAAATAAAATTCCCAGAAAGCTTGGACTCTTAAAAGAGTACTCATTTACTTGAATTTGACGTTGAAATTTTGTCACAGCACCAGAGAAAATGTTATTTTCAACATATTTGCAAATACAGTGAGATTTCAATGATGTAAGTGATATATAATTTTTTATATTGAAGTTATTTGTTTAATTTTATTGATCAAAAGTTAAAATATAATTGTAAATTTGACTTAAATTATGTATTTGTGATTTTTTGTTTAAGTTATTATTATTTTTACTTATGTGAACCATTTCCAGAAATATCCTTTTGACTTTATTATTTTCAACTGCTAAAATTTTTGTATTTTCATAATCCATAACAACGTCAAATTTGCATTTGACTTTTCGGCTTTTCTATGTTTGGATTTATGCCTATTTATATTTTAAACTAACTTTGGTGTCTTTTTAAATATTTTATTACTATATAATGTTGCATCATGCATCATACTTTTTGTAAATATTCTTGATAAAGGAAAAAATACATTTCCGAAAGCTTGAATAGCAAAAATAGTGTTTCTATAGCCCACAGAGATTTGACTGAAATACCCACTCAAAAATAACCTATTCTTATATAAGCCAGTCGAATAAACTTGACGTTTCATGCGCGGTGCAGCCAATTGCAAGGATGGACAACAACTGGTTACCAAAAATGAAAAACTTCACATGTCACGGAAGTCACGTAGGTTGCATAGCTGCCTACGTGGTGATGTTAGATGATGCCTGGGAATGCTAGTTCAAAACTTTGTACAATTATGTTCATTTTTCATATATTACTTAGTACTACTTACTTCTATACTAATAGGTGTGTTCATACTATAGGGTCTTCCAAAAAGGACTTTCGAACTTTGACAATTGATAACCTTCATTTTGTTGAAGCTACATCTGACAAATTTATTCAATTTATTCAATCTGTTTTGGACGGAGATTGCATACACCAACACGTACAAAAAATGTTATTGTTTAATCACAATGGGTGTTCTGTTCGGGCACCGTACCGCGCAATTTTCCCATTTTACGGTCGCCATAGTCTTCCTACTAAGAGGAACGTTCGCAATGAAGTGGATAAATTTGAGTCCACTGCTTTAGTAAACTATCCACCAACACCCGTACGTCGACGAAACAACACAACATCTGCCGAGAATATCGCCGCTGTCTGTGAGAGTGTGCAGAAGAATCCGAGGCAGTAGATTTAGCGTCGCTCACAAGAACTCGACCAAAGGAGAACTTGGCGAATTTTGCATAGTGACTTGGACCTGCACCACTACAAAATTCAAGTGAATGGGCTCTGGAGCAGTTGAAAACTGACCCTAATTTTCATCGAAAAATCATCTTCAGCGATGAGGCCCATTTCTGGATGAATGGGTGAACAAACAAAATTGTCGATTTTGGGACGACAAACATCTGCAATGGGCAAGCCATACAGAACTATTGTCTAAACTGCTGAGAAGTAGTTACTACAGCATGAAGTATATGAAAGACCACTGCAGCAAAAACGTCTTGTTTACGCTGTACTTTACTCATTTCCACTCCCACAAGAAGTATGGTATACTGAATTGGGAAAACAGTGCCGATATGAATCGGATCTTCATTCTTCAAAAATACGCTATTCGAATTATGGAAAGTATGGACATGAGAACCAGTTGTCGTAAATACTTGATAACTCTGGATGTATTAACAGTTTATAGTTTATATATAACTAAAGTGACATGAAAGAGAACTCACCCCCATCAACCCCCTAGGCTCCACCCACCAAAACACAAAAAGTTTAAACTGCAAACCCCTACTTGTGATGCATCATTGAAAAGACTATAAAAAATGCTATCGAATGGTATAAATAATAATTGTACAAAGTGAAGCAATAATTGTGAAACTTTGGCTTGAATGGAATATTTAATAAGTTTTTTTTGAACTGCAAATTTATTAAAAATGTCAATTAAGTAAATGTTCAAAATGGGTTCCACTGTTTTGTAAACAATAATACAGCCTATTTTCAAATTCTGCACGAACTTTGGTAAATGTTGTACTAGTAATGGCGCGACATGCTTGCGTAATTCTTTCTCGCAATTCCCTAAGTGACGCAGGTTGAGTTTTATAATCAACTGCCTCGAGGTGACCCCCCCCACCGAAAAAAGTCAGGTGGCGCCAAGTCTGGTGACCTTGGTGGCCACTCAATGGGACCTCTCCTTCCGATCCTTTTGTTCGGATAATTATAATCCAAGCAGCGCCCAACTGGAGCTGCATAGTGAGGAAGTGCTCCATCTTTTTGGAAGTGCAGCAAATCTTCGTCTACAGCTAGGTTGCCTTGGTCGTCCCTTTGATTTTCTAATTCATGCTCAATTAAAGGTTCGATGGTGTTTTCCAGTATATCGAGATAAATGTCGCCACTTGAATTTCCTGGTTTGAACAAGGGACCAATTGTAGCATCGCCTAATATTCCTGCCCAAACATTCAGTTTTTCAGGATATTGAGTGTGACCTTCTCTGAATCGATGCGAGTTCGCATCACTCCAGTACCGACAGTTTTGTTTATTTACATTACCATTCAGCATGAAAGTACATTCATCACTGAAACAAATATTTTTTAACATTCTCGGTTCAACGCGATTTTTTTCAGTCATGAGTTCACAAAACTCAATTCGTCGGTCTGGATCATCATCGCCTAGTTGTTGAAGAAGAATTTGTGTTTTGTACGGGTGAAACTTATGTAATTTCAACACCTTTCTAACCGATCATGTGAAAGTCCTGTCACTGCAGATACTGGACGTGTTGATGCAGTAGGTTCCACTGCAAAATTTCCAAGGACCTCCATTTGGGTTTGCTTCATTCAGTAATCTTGGGGCATTACTTTTTTCATTTTGCACTGATCCCTTTTCTTTAAACTTTTCAACTAAATCGCGTACATTAATGAAATACCTCTTAGTATGAACAAGCTACTGTATAAAGAAACACGTGTTGCCATTATTCTGGTGATTCTTTGGCGATTTCAACATTAATATCGCATGGAAAAGATAGAAAAAGTATTTTCCATGAGTATTTAGATGTATTTCTGTTATTTTCAATATTTACAATTTGGCACACTCCACTGGTGAGCGCGCCAATGTATCTCCAATCCCAGAAGCGATAATAAGTAGTTCTGAAGATACCAATCACTCGCGCTGGCGAAACGTCCCAAAGACATTCCAACAAACGACGACCTAAAAACTCAAAACAAGAAATGGTTTCAGAAGGAGTCCGCGAAAGCCTTAATCTCTACGTATTTATTGATTGTATCATATTCACTGACTGTGTCGTATTTATTGATTTCTTCCTTTTTCAAACTATGTTCACAATCCAGCTTTTTTCAGATTGCTTCAAGGACACTCATGGGGGTCAAATGGTCTGTATGGCCCTGATGTATCGTTACAAGTGGAGTGAACCAGATCAGGACTGCGTGAAGGCTATATATGGAGGGTGTCATGAAACCAAAAATAATTTCCACACAGTGGATCATTGCCGTGAAGTAACGTTTCCTGTATGCAAATCAAATAAAAAATAATGGATGGAATAGGAAAGTTATTCAATGAAATGTTTATTATAGATTATTCGATGTATTATGAAAGTAAAAATAAAGAAACTGCCTCAAAATGCTAGGGTCAAATTCAAAATGGAAATTTGATGCGCTGGGACAAACGGTGAACATTTGGTCGAGTGTGAATAGGTATGAGGCATAATAAACCCTTACGTGTTGCGGTGGTGGGTCGAATAGACTCGCTAACTTTGGATCTTACCTATAACCTAACCTAACGTAAGTGTTCCGTCACTCACAACATAAAAAGTTATGGTGGTACCAACTTGTTAAGACTCAGATTGACTGTGTGACGTCAATAATCCCTTTATCGCATTAAGAACTGAATGGTTTCTTTCTGAGAATGTGCTGCACCAAAACATCTGAATCTATGGTAATCAATAGTTGAATGGAATCACATTCGTTAAATTTAATTGTGATGAAATTAAAAATCGGATCCCCGCAACATCACACTTTTGGTAAATAAAAAAGCGCGGTTAGAGCATCATTTAAGGTCAACCGGTAGTCCCGGTCAAAAACACGTCAATTAAAAAGAAAAAAAAACGTTTTTTGATAGCGTTTGAGAAACTGAGAAATTTGGATCAAATTGCAGCAGCATTTAAAGAAGAAAATTGAATTCAAATCTGGTTGGCAGTCTATAATGCTCCAAAATCTTTGGACAGTATCGATCATCTTCATTATGCACGCTACGTCAAGTGTTTACAAAACTGAATAAACCCGTGCAATTATCAAATATTCCACCAACAAGTGCGGCAGCTCACCAACATTTCAATCGTGTTTATTATCAAGTTCAAACTTAGGGGTTGATTTAGAACCCCAGGAATGGTGTTGGACAATGCGTAACGAATTCCTGGAACCTATCAAGACAATTTTAGCACCTGCTCCAGAGGAATTGCTCAACAGAATATTCTGCAACTGTAAGAATAGTTGTGGTTCGCGATATGGATGCAGGAAATTGTGGTTGCAGTGCTCTTTAGCTTGTGGCCAGTGTAATGGGCAAGCTTGTCTCAATGTTTTACCATATCAGAGTGATGTCAATGAAGAATCTTTGACCCCGAAATCATGAAAGACCTGGAGACAAATGTTGTTGAAGACAATAAAGAAGAGGATTTTGAGATACTATAGTGGTCGAAAGACGTCGAGGAAGAAGAAGATAATGAAAATTATAAGTCGTAGTTCTTGTACTTATTATTCATTTTTTTTGTTTATTTTCATAATTATAAATGTATGGAATATATTTGAATAATAACATTCATTAAGAATATCTTTCTTTCTTTTTTTATTCATTTAGGAAGTTTTCAATATAAATTACATTAGAATTGAAATATAATTCAAGTATTTTCTTTAACAATTCTATAACTACACAGGCGGGTAAGTGTCATTAAATAAATTGATAATTAAAAATAGATTCGTGAGTAAAATAATTATTAGAAATAATGTTATAGTTAATAAGAAATGAAAATTATGAATAATTATGTATTTTTCTACACCCGTACTCTAACAATACACTTATATGACCATAATCCGTTTCATAATGATATCCATTATGATACAGATTTTTCATAACGATACAGATTATCAACCAATAGAAACCCATAATTTTTCAATCAAGAATCCTGTTCCTTTGTTTGTCGTAGATTCTAACCTAAGTAACTAATTGCTTTATTTGTCAAAATCAGTTTTCATATTACCTACCAATATTGTCAAAATGTCTGAAAACAGCGATATAGAAGGAATACCATTGACTCCAATATTTTTAAAAGATCAGATTAATTACAGTTGTTATATTCAATATAAATATAATTAGAATCTTTATAGTTTTCATATATCCATGATAATACCATTAAGTTTGTGTTTTTTTAAAAAAATATGAGTTAAATACTGTAAATGTGTTCAATACAAATATAATATTTATAGTTTTTCATCATTTATCGGGTTAAAAAAAAATAGCGTATGCAACTCTCATGTAATGGTTATTAATACACTCGCATATACCATACAAAACTCGCCTTCGGCTCGTTTCGTATCCCGGTTAATGCTCGTGTCTTAATAACCATCATTACATGATCGTTGCATAATATACTATTATCAGTGATTAATAAACTTCATATGGCGTTTTTTTGACTGAGACTTCTGGTTAACCGCGCGCTTCCCACAACCCCTGCCCTCTATCTTGAAAACTATTCAATGTAGGAAAAAAAATTCAAAAAAAAGTTGTAGGGAATTTAATCTAATATATCTAATATAAAAAATAGATGTTTGTTGGTTGGTTGGTAAGTGATAAACTTCTATATCGCTCAACCGATCGACTTTATTTTTTTTGTGCACTTTATAGGGTTCCAGTGAGGGGGCCACTATTCCTGATTGAACTTGATGTGGAAGTTAATGAAGTAACCATTTACTTCTACATGCAATATTGCTGTCTTGGTCAAGTGAAATCTGTAGTTCTCAACTCAATTTCCCGTCTGAATTTTCCGGGGAAAACCGTAGAACTTGTAGTTGTAAAGAATGCTGATTTAATTCAAATTGCAAGTATTGAAATGACCTTCCAGGTTTATTGAATTATTGGTCAATACTATTTCATTTAAGCCCTCTGGTTTGGTAATTTAAGCAAGGACAATACAAATAAAATAGGAAAAAAATAAAGATATAAGATTACACTTGGAATAAGAGAAATAGGAATTTTGAAGAGAATTTCAATAACGTTCTTCTTAAAAAAATGTATCATGTGTTTTGTTCCTAAGGTAACGTGTAAGCGACAATGTGACGTCACTGCGGCGCGTTAGCTGACTTTGTTTTGCCTTTTTTTTGGTTGTGAGTAAATACATATTAGATGTTTAGGGGTACTTGTTTCTTCTGTGTGAATTGATTATTTAGTAATTTGTACCGATATGCATAACCTGTCTATTTTTGTACAATAAGGACAAAACTTTGGTGTCGGATAGATCAGGAGTATATAAGCTGACTTGTGGCTCTTGTCCAAAACTGTATATTGGCCAAACAGGTAGAACATTTTTCCAACGAATTAAAGAACATAGGAGTAGTTTTGTAAATAGAAAGACCAATTCCACATTTGCAAACCATCTTTTAGCAGAAGGACATGAGTTCAATCATGAGTACGATGTGTTACATTTAGAAGAGAAGAGTTTGAAACTTAATCTTCTAGAATGTTTAGAAATCAATAGATTCAGGAATTCGGGTAATTTACTGAATGATCAATTAGAACTGAATAACTCTCCGTTACTGAATATTTTTTCAAATGTGGAAAATGGAACATAAGTACAGGTAATTTAATTCGTTAGAAACTCAGGTAAAATATCAGCTACTTAAAATTCAGGTACTTCGTTCACAGGTACTTTGATATCAGGTACTCCATAAACTATATATATATTTAGTATCGAATGTGTAGAATTAGTTGAAAGACACGCCAGATGAAGCCATTGTATGGCGAAACACGTGTTGCGTTTTTGTAAAACAATTTAGTGAAAATCTCACAATAAAGTGTTTTTGGAATAATTTACTCCTATTTTCAACTTCACTAACTAATATGAAAATTAGTATGTGAAGTTGAAAAAAATAGAAGCAGTATACTTGATATTAATTTATATTAATAAAAATGTTGATGATTACTGTATCATTATTTCAAGTCTTTATGTTTGGAGTGACGAGGAAGGGAAATTGGCAAAATTTCTGGGATATTTTGGAAGGAATGAGAAGAATGAAGAACCGCTTTTCTGGATGTATCAGTGAAAAGACGGAAGAGTGGCAAACCCATACGGACCGATATTCGAATGAGCACTTCAATCATCATCTGCGACAGAAAAGGGGGGGTTATTAAGACTCTGGTTGAGAAGGCAAGATATGTCTGCGAATTGGAAGGACTACAAGAGGAAATGTGTCATCTGAGGAATGCATTTCTGGGTAACGGATATAATAACGAGGCCGAAATCAACCGAGCCTTTTCTGCCCTACATAAGCGGTGTGACGGACCGAATTGGAAGGATCCTTGAAAAACATAGACTTAGGGCCATCCATTGATGAATCACGAATCTGAGTACTTGGCAGAAATAGTTTTAATCCACTTCTCGAAACTGAAATGACAAACATAGTAATTGAATGACTATGTAATTGTGACTACAAGAAAGTTGATGCTCTCATTCACATAAAACCGTATGTGATATAAATAAAAAAGTTTCCGCTAAATTAAATAAAACCCAACTTGCCAGACTGTAATGTACATTAATGTATTGTTCACTCCAAACTGCAAGCAACTTCCAAGAAAGCACTTAAGGTTCCGCAGACAGAAATTAATTCAAAGTTTTATCAAGAATTACGACTTTGTTGTTGCGTTCAAAAGTATCGGCGAAGAATCAATTTACCAGATTTATATACTTTTCGTGTTTCTGATGAACATTTCTACCTTTCAATATGATGGCTTTTCCAAATTATGACATTTAAAAGTGATCGACATGAAAGGAACAATTGGAACCTACTGAGAATACTCGGAAGATGACTAGAACCCAGTCTAGTATGTAAGAAGTATTTTCAATAGATTTATTTGATTGAGCGTCAGTTAACCCTTTTGATTCTCGTGCTGCAGTTGTCTTTCTATCCATCGCAACCTGGATTCAAAGAAAAAGTCTATACCTCGTACTACAATTTTCAAAGCTGGTGCCATAAACAATATCCAAAACTACCGACCTATAACCTTGTTATCCAACTTTGCAAAGGCTTTTGAGATGTGCTTGTACAGCAGAATCTTTCCTGATGTTGAGAATTTAATTTCAAACAAGCAACATGGTTTCTTTAGCAAAAATCAACAATAACTAACCTAATGTGCTTCACACAATCAGTAAGTAATGCACCTAATAATAACCTACAAGAAGATATTGTGTACACAGATTTCTCGAAGGCGTTTGACAAGTTGGATCATAACATTCTTATCAATAAACTTCACCAATATTGATTCGACTCTCAACTTTTGAACCTTTTCCGCTCATACTTAACCTAACGTATCCTATTCGTAGATTATAGGGGTCACAAGTCGTTCCAATTTATTGCAAATAGTGGTGCCCCTCA